AAATCATTCTATTCATTAAGAGAATGCAACTATATATCTATCCTAACCACTTGGAATACACAAATACAAAATGGACATTCATGGGTATACCCCATTTTTTCTAAGTTCTGTTATTGAATATTATAGGTGTGTAAACTCAGCAAAATATTCTAAAAGAGTCCAGTAGCCCATAATAGCATTGGGTCTTCTGTTTAACTGGCAAGGCAACCGTTCTTAAAGACTTGAAGGACAGGTTTCACTGGGATAGACTGGTTCTGATTCCCTTCTACATGCTAGAGGGAATGTCAGGCCTGATCTGTTTCAGTTTCCTTGCTTTAACTCTACTCCTAATTTTCCTACCTCTTTGTACTTTCCTTCTTAGAGGCATGTAAAAAAAAACCAAAAAACCAAAAAACAAAAAAACCTCTGATTGTTCCAGCTAAGTAAAGCCCTTAGAAAATGAGCGTTAATGCGAAAAACAAAAAAATCATTGTAGAAGAAGGACACATACCACATCTCTGGGTCAGATGAGACAAAACAAAAACAAAAACAAAACTGCGTGCATCCAGGAGGACACATATAAAAGCCATGTCCCGGCTTAGTGTTCTGGGCAGGTCTCCTTCAGGAGAGTAAACCTGAGACACAATGGAGAGAACCGACTTCTGGGTGACACCAGCAGGAGCTATCTCCAAAAGTAGCACTCTTATGGGACCAAAACATTTAATATGAGAAAGAAAAAATTTTTGACCTTTTCTCCTAAGTTTAGTTACCATTTAATTGAGTAAGAGATAAGTTAAAGACTAAAGGCCTTTACTGTAAGGTACTTAGGTAATCTTGTTCAGGCTTTTTAGATTTTCCTTATAAAATTTGGATAAACAGTGGTTACTCTACCAGCTAGTAAATGTACTTAGAACAGCTGCGACTCTTTAAAGCAGAGGACAGATTTCCCCAGCCATTCTTTGGTGAATCCCCACTGAAGTCTGTGGCTGATGGAATGTTGACCAGAAAAACTGCTGGATTCCTTTCTGGAGATATCTCTGGTTGTGTAAGTCAAAAGAAACTGAGAATACCTAAGGGGTTAAGGCACCATACCCGAACGTTCTTTGATGGAAACTGGTTCCTGACCACTAAAAGCTTACATCTGCTTTATGTGTTAACTGAGAATAAGATGTTTGCCAGCTGTATTGTGTTTTTACCAATATGTAAGATGTGATGCTAAATGATAATAAGTTTCACCTGTGAGTTTCAAGGTTAAATCTTTAGTTGCTAAAATATTTATGTAATGCTAATCTTAAACCAAGCTTTGACTTCTATAAAAAAAAAAAAAAACAGGCAGCATTATAAGCTGATGTTGCATTTGGAAATAAGTGTCATATTTTAATTTTAAAACAACTAAAAGATAAACAGCCAGTCTATCATGGTTTAGCTGTAACAGGAACTACCTCCTCCCACTGGAGCCCAAGCAGTCAGACCCCTGCTGGCCTAATAGCCAGGCAGGAGATTATAATAAAAAAAATATTTTCTAGTATGTATTCTTGAAGGTCTAAAAAGAACTAAGACCAAATCTTCAGTTATTTAATTTCAGCTATTTACCAGGGAAAAGATAAACACCCCTCTGATTTCTTAAAATGTTTAATAAAAATCTGGTAAAGTATACTTTTTGAGATGCTAATTCAGTAAGGGGACAGATTACTTTTACAGATAAGTTCATTACTTAGTCAGCTTCAGAGATTAAAAAAGAGCTACAAAAGATAGCTTTTGCTCCAGACAACTCACTTGATATTTTATAGGACACTAAGAAAACAATGTCCTGTAATTGAATCTGGGAGAGAATCAGGGAGAAAAAGCAAAAAGACCAAAAAGAGCTGCCTTTGTTGCAGCCTCAGAACAGACCCTAAGTCTGATTCTCTAGGCTCCAAGAAGATCTCAGTGACAATGAGGCTGATCTACTGCTGCTATCAAAAGCCAGGCCAGTGTAAGAAGGACTGCCTTAAGAGGCCCAGAAGCCATGCCCTGACTGCCGAGGCAGCCATTAGAAGTGAGACTGCGCTCTGAGGCAGAGGCCCCAGAGCTCAGACTCAGCTTCCCCAATGGTCCAGTAGGACTAAAGGGCACTGAGCCTGCCTCCTCCCTCTGGCCAGACTATCATCTCCATGGAGGAGCCCTGAGTAATCACGACTACAGGAAAAAAACCCAGCCCATTGCTGGATATTGGCACAGGTCTCTTTGTCTTTTTCCAACCTTGATCTTTATTCCAGTCATTGTCATCTTGTTTTAGCTGTAATTGAGATATATTGTTCATATGTAGATAACATCCTGTCAATGTAAAAATTCTAGAGACACTGGCAACACAGTGTCCAATAACTTTGGGCCTATAGATAGGGCTAGGTTTTATATTTGTGACAAAACACTTAGAGCCACAGTGTTAAAAATCCCTCCATAGTGCCCCCTTGCTTACAATAGTGGTCATATCCAAAACTGAATGGGACATCAGTTTGATCTGACTGCATACTGTATATTTCATGATAAATATATTAAGTTAGCCTAATTGATTTTTGATGTAACTCAGATATTTCATGCTGATAGTAAACACAAGTGTAACTTGGAAAAATATGCCAAGTTGTACTTAAATTACTTAAAAACATTGACAGTAAAAATAAGATATAAATCTGGTTTTCATATGTTCTCAAAATTTAGAGATAATTATAAGTATAGCTAGAGGGACTTATAGTAAACTGTAAGACTCCATAAATAAAGGGGTCTAAAAGCTAGTAGGTTATGATCGCTTACTTCAAAAAGTTTACACATTTACCTGTTAGCTCAAATGCTTGTGTTTTGATTGTACATGATGTAATTTTTCAGAAAATTTTGTTCTTTCTCAAAAGATACCAAAACCCAGGTTATCATACGATAGAGATATAGTAAGGCCTTAACTGTCCACCTCATGCAGCCGAGGTGAGCTGAGTCTTCTCTGGGTTTCCTGCTTCATTAAAAAGGAAGCTATCATCACATTCCTTGGGCAGGGCTGATTGCCCTCAAAGATACTTCCTCTGTTAGCCTAATCCTACATCAGGAAATCCACTACAGGGGAAGTTGCCCTCACATTCTTTGAGCAAGGCTACCTGCAGAAGGCCTTAGAACCAAAAAATTGTACCTTACTCAGTGGAACCCAGATATCTGACACAAGCTGCAGAAGTTAAAAAGGGTTTACAGAAATAAATTGCCTGAGTTGAGATGTTTCATAGTAAAATGATACAGAATAAAATTATAGATAAAAAAAAAGAATGGGGATACTAGCAACCTACAGGAAAAAAGGTCAGTCAGGAAACAGGAAAAATTTATGTTTCCCTGGATCAGACAGAAGGGATATTTCAAGCAGAACCATCCAAAGCTGCTGGAGAAGAAAAAAAAAAGTGTTTATGATACAGTCAGAAGAAGTTTCAGATTGGAGTGGTCTTGGGTCTTCCCCTATCAACCTGAAGGAACCCATGTTAATTGCCAATATATAAAAAAGCCTGTTAAATTTTTAATAGATGCCCATGCAGATTTGTCAGTTACCCAGCCAGTGGCCCCACTTGCCAATCAAAAAGTATCTGCTAATGGACCTACAATTCCATAGGTCCGACAATTAATGTGCTCCAGTAATGTATCTTTAATTGTTTCTTTGGCTTTGCTTCCTCCAGATTTAAAGCCATTCTTCCTACCCAAGATAAAAATTGCCTGGTGTCTATTGAGGGCCTTTAGGTAGAATCTCTGGAGAGTATCTCTGACTGCTGGGCAACAACTACGACCTTTTTCAGTTTGAAGAAACCAGAACAGTCATCGCCCACAATCCCTTCATGGCAGTTCGGGTTACTTCTTCAGAGGGAAAATTTTGCAGGCAGCCAAGTTAGATAAAAATATTATAGACAGTCAGATAGGGCTGGGTCCTCAAGGAGACAAAATTAAAAGACAAGGTGGCCACAGTTTGAGAGAGGCAGATGCTCCCCACTGTGGGCCAGATCTCAAGACAAAAGAAAAAACTCCCTGACTGATATTACAGCCCAAGAGGTGGCACAAAAACCAGTGGGGACACGGGGGATATTGCCTGTTCTAGAGTTCTAAAAACTCACCAATCAGACTCTGTTGTTAACTAGTGTTCCTTGCTGTTGGAATAGATTGACAATGGTGACCCAAGTCAAAATAATTTAATATAACATTGCCTACAAGTTCCTGATGAGTCAATGATTTGACTCGGCCACAAAAACCAGTGGAGAATGTTATAACCTGACCAAAGTGCTGCCATCCTGTTCTGTATGTGCTGTCTTAGTAAACCATGTCAGCTGCTGTAAAATGTGACTTCCTGCTTCCCAAGCCCCTCATCCCACCCTTGAGTTCCAATATGTGCTTTGTCTCACAGAACACCTGTTTCCTGAAGCCCCCATCCCACCCTTGAGTTCCAATGTTTCTTCTGTTTCCCAAGCCCACCCCAGACCTATAACCATATTTAGTCTCAAAAGACGTCATGGCTTTTTGAACTTCCTGAGTTGTTCCTCCTCTACTGCTTTGTGGTTTCAAGCTTTATTATCCCCACTCTCCCCCACTTCAGGGTGCACTCAGGTACTTTGTGCTGGGTGTTGCTGCTGGGTACCAGCTAAAATAAAGTGCTTTTAAAACTTTTGAGCCTGCCTTATTTTTGAGTTACAACAAGGGGGAAGCTGTGTTCATGGGGTTTGCACTCTGTGCACCAGATGGTGCTGCACCGTCAGAGATCAGGAAGACTCACTCCAGGGCTCACTTTGGCAGCACTTACCCCAGAACTGGAAAGATACTGGGAGGATTAGCATGACCCCTCCTTGGATGATGTGCAGATTTGTGACATGTTCCATATTTTCTGCATGGTTCAAAAAAGATGAAAAAAGAAATATTTAATCTATGCTCAGCCAGAGCCCATTCATCCTTATTTCAGTTAATTCTCCTGCCTACAGCATGGGGGACTGTTCCTCTCTCTGAAGAAGAAACTGAGACCTAGCAGGGCCTCGACTTGCCCAAAGTGCACAGCTGGTGGAGCCTGAATTCAAAGAGTAGACTGGAAGTCCCACAGGCCCGAGGTTGAGGCCCCACTGGAGTCTTCAGACAGGAGGTGGAGGCTCCAGAGTGTTACAGATTAGGGGTGGGGGCTAGAGAGCTGAAGCTGCCCACTGAGGGCTTCTGGCCCCTGGGGGAGCAGGAATTAGGGCATGCCCCACTGTGGGGGCTGTACCAGGCCACATTATAGCTGCTCTCCAGATTCTCCTCCCCAGGACCCATAATCACCCCAGACATGGGACAACCTAGCCCAGGACAGGACAACTTCTCATCACTGTCACAGCAAGCAGGCCAAGGCCATCCCAGTACAGAGTCATTGAGGCCTCGAAAGAGAGGTGGGGACAGGAGCCAGCTTCCCCTGGTGATTTTCCGTTCATCTGGCAACATATGGCTGGACTGCCTCTCTGCAGTCTCACCCTGGCCCACTCTGCACCTGGTCCTGTGGGTTACAGGCCACACGGCCATGGAGAGAACCCAAGTCCGATGCTGGAGGGGTTGAGAAGGGCCAGCCTGGAGGCTGACACTTGAGAGCCTGGCCTAGGGGGTCAAACCCCAGAGGAGAGACAAAGAGATAGTAAGGGAGAATGCATATCCTGGGAGAAACTGGGGGAATGGCAAGTGTTCTCTGTGCCTGTCTCTGCATGTTTTGCTTCCTTTGGGCTGAGGGAAACCTTGAGTACCATGGATAGGTTGAAGCCTTGGGGACAAGTGGGCCAGAGAAGCCAGTGGAAGTACTTAGGGTCAGGATGGAGAGGAGGGTGGGACCAAAGTGCAGAGGTGAGGGGCAGCCTGGGTGAGGGAAGACAGGCCAGGAAGCCCTGTGGCTGTGACTTGCAGCATAAATAGCCAAGAGAGTAGTGCCTGGAGAGTGGTGTGCAGCTGCAGGGGCTCTGAGCACCAGGTCCTGTGGGTTACAGGCCACACTGCTGTATTCCAGGCTCCATTTGGGCAGCGGACCTGACAGCCTCTGTGGAACCTGAGCCAGCTCCTCTCCCCTTCACCAAGTGTCTAGATGCTGGCCTGGCCCAACATGCTGCTAGGTGGCCTGTTCCTCATAGCCACCATGACTGCAGCCCAAGAGAGAGGACAGAAGGTGGATGGCATCCAGACAAACCAGCCGCCCAGTGTGCCTGTGAAGGTCTTGTCTGGAAATTTGACAGAACAGGCAAGGACTGAGCTGACGAACAGCACACTGAGGCTGCAGAAGGTATGGCGGGGTCCCTGAAGTAGGTGCAGCTTCAGAGCTGTCCCTACCAGCAAATGAACTGTGAGACCCAGAGGCTTCTCTGGGCACAGAGGCCTGGGATTTGAGTTGTATGCATTGGAAGATGAGGCTCCAGAGGGGCAGGGATGGGTCTGGTGCCACACAGCCAGACTGGGTGGTGTTGGAACACTGAAGCTAGGTCTACACAACTATGCATTAGAACTGCTCATGGCCAGGCCTGTCCTAGGTGAGCACATAGCAGGCAGAGGTCAGTTCAATTTGTCCTTTCTGGACAAAGGGGTGATAAGGGCCATGAAGTAATGTCTACTGTGTCAGATTGTGACACAAACGTATAGAGGGGAAGAGAGAAGGGTGTGGCTCAGCCTGGCTGCTTGAGCTCAAACGATTTGTGAGGCTGTCTCAGTGCAGGGAAGCTCTGATTTCAAAGGGCAAAGGAAGCAGCCATCTGGAGACTCTCAGCTCCCACACTGCAGTATGGAATGCTGTTACCTGCCCAAAGACAGGGATGTGACCAGTGTGTCCAGAGCAGATGGACAGGGGCACAGGCAGAATCCAAAACTTGCAACAAGAAAGACTGCCTGGTCCACTTTAGCTTTTATCCTGAATGTCACTGCACCATACAAGAGCTGTGTGCAGGGAGTGACACTGCTGCTTGAGATGTAACAGAGTAGAGTATAGGGATAGGTGGACCCCAGCAGCCCATGAAGAGGCCCTGAGGTCCCCAGGCATCAGACACACGGAGATGGAGGCCAGCTCAGTGTGGGGCTGGGGAGGGTGGAGGGGCTGATTCTGTAGGGCAAGAAGCATCTGTGCTGATGGATCAGATGCAGAGAGGCAGAGAGTAGGAGTCCAGGGCCACAGCAGTATGGGCCAGGCCAAGGTTGCTGGAAGATCCGGTCACTGTCCCTGGGCTTCTGCCAATATTAACCACCCACTGTGTGTCCCAGAGAGGCAGAGTCCAAGGAGGCAGGCTCGATCTGGAGAGGGGTGGGCACAGACATGGTTTTTGGGGTCCAGTGTGCAGCTGTCTAGGTTCCCTAAGTAGGAGTGGCTGAGAGAAGAGGACCTGGCCCCAGGACAGTCTGAGCAGTGCAGAGGGCTGCATGAGGTGCTAGGAGAGGACTGGATGTGTCAGACAGCAGGTATAGTGTGCCAGCCAGCAGAGCAGAGGTGAGTGTTCTCCAAGGGAGGGGAGGACACGCCTGCTACTGTGATTGATGGATTGTTTAAATCTGAGCCCAATCAGTGGAAAGTTTGCTCCTCAATAAGTTCATATTTAGCAACTTGCACAAGCTTACACATTCTGATACTCATGCACAGTGATGCGGGGGGAATGGGACCATAGTACGCTGACACAGGACCCTTCAGCCTTGGAACTGTGAGGTGCACAGCTCTGCTAATGGTTGCAAAGGGGACCTGCAATTCCCTCCCAACCCCCTGTCAAATGGGTGGGGTGCCTGAATTCGCTGTATTACCCAGGATTACGCTGGGACGGAGCCTGGTGCTCTAGGACAGGGCAATATGACAGTCACCATAGCTCCTTCTGTCTTCTAGGGGGCGCTGCTGTGTACACTCACACAAGTACATGATCTCACTACGCAGCTTGGTCTCATAGTGATCCTCTTGTTTTAAGCCTTCCCAGGGCCCAAGGGCAGGACCAGAGGGTCATGTGGTGCCCGGGGCATTGAACCTCTTGATACTCTAGGACATGAGGTCTGTTCTGATCCCCTTGTGTTGTGTGCATACTGAGGTTTAACAAGTGAGGCAGGTGGGCGTGAACCCAGGCAGACTGACTGCAGGCCTCACATTCTAACACTGCAAAGATGGCCTGTCTGTGCCTCAGGCCCACTGTCATATGTGGACACCAAACCTGGGCAGGGGAGGCTCTCGGACTAAGTGGCTGACTTATCTTAGATGAAGTGCTCAGAGAGGGGGAGGAGAAGGCAGAGACAAAATGACGCTGTGTAGGCATGGAAGCCATGCCGCAACATCTCTTCTGTGTCTATCCTGTCCCAGGGAGAGAGGGGAACAACCAGGTTATGAGTTCCAGGTGCAGGATGATGGGGGCCACAGTTCTCTGCCACAAGCAGCCCAGCATCATGCACATGAGCGAGGACTTCCCAATGCATGGTGGCCCACGTTGGTAATCTCAGGTGTCTGAGGGTCAGAGGCTGGAGGAACAGAGTTCTACCCAGCCTGTGCAATTTATAAGAGTCTGTGTCCAAATTAGACATAATGAGACACGACAAGTGTTCAGGTCTTGGCTTAGTCTTGCATACTACAGAACAAAACAGTGTGGTCTTGGTGCCTACGTGCCTACGTTAAAACATTAGAATAACTAATACATATGAAATGGACAGAGTAGTGGGATTTCCCAGGCCATTTCTCTACACGTGGTGAAATTGTCCATCCACACTTCCACTCTCCCTGCCCAATGTCACATTGAACCCCATCTTCTGTCACTCATAAGTTGTGGCACCTTTGTCCCTTCACATATAAAATGTGAAAAGGACATAGCCCAGGGAAAAATGAGCTCTAAATCTCTTGTGTCAGTGCCAGGTACCAATAGCACTTTAGGTCTCCCTTGGGAGTCCTGGCTTGCCATGTTCACTTGTCCCCATCCTCATACTAGACAACTTGCATGAAGACCAGGACTACCATGTCTGTTTGTTTCTAGAGTTTTCCTCCTGCAGCCAACCCACTTAGGACCTCCCCCCACCATCTCCTTCCTCAGAATCCACTCAGTTGCGCATGCTCACTGTTCCAGACTCTGAGTGCATGTCCTCCCCTTCCTCTCCTGCCCTGGCTCCAGCAGGCGGTTCCCTGTCTGTCTCACTGGCTTCTTCTCTCTTCCCTTTGCATGGCTGATCCTGCAGGCCCTACCTTATCTCCAGGTGTGTGATATCTATTCTTAGGAAACCCAGTGCCCTCATCAAGCTGACCCCTGTACTCCTTTGAGAAACACGGAAAGTCCGTCCTCCATGCCTGCACCTCCAGGAATAGTGAGGTGGCCATCAGAAAGCAGCAGAAGTACTGGGCCATGGGCTGATATTCCTGGGGGACAGGGCAAAGAAATACTGGGCTGGCTGCAGATGGTATGAGGTGCAGTGAGGGGACCAGGAGGGTGACAGAGGGTGGTGAAGACAGTGGGATGGGACCAGGGCTTACTCCTAATGGTGGGGGCAGGGATGGCTTCTTTGAGGTAGTGACACAGCTAAGGAGACCTGGCAAGCAGAATTATGGGGGTTGGTGGGAGAAATGTGGCTTGAATGTGTTGGGGTAAGGCTGTGTTCTGGCTCCTATCACCACCTCTGCTGGCACCTGGCCTCACCAAGTCCAGGATAGGATGTCCCTTCTAAGTGTCTACAAGGATGGTTTTATTTATTTTTATTTTATTTTATTTTGTTTTATGTATTTTATTTCATTTTAGAGAAGGGTCTACAGGGTGTTCAGGGGCTCACTACTAGATCAGACTGTTTACAGTGGTACAAGGCGATTTTAGAGCTGTGGTCCAGATCTCAAGTGCCTGCACCCTGGACCTCAGCAGTCCTGCTTAGAGGGATTCCCTCCCATGAGCAATGCCTCCCATGACACTTAGGACAGCTAAGTGTCAGGTGTCCAGGTACAGTCACAGCAGCCTTGTGTGTGGTGGCAAAAGCTTGGCAACGACCTCCAGGCCTAGCTGCTTGGGACCTGAGGAGCTCCAGGCTCAGCTCTTAACGATGCTGACAGTAGTGATGGCAGCTCTGTGGCTGCCCACCCAGCCTGTGGCAGGCACAGCTTCCTCACTCCATGCTCAGGACAGCCCGTGTGGTAGCTCTGATACAGCACCCATGGTATAGGCTCTGAGAGACCAGAGAGGGTGGAGGTGAGCAGAGACTTCACTAGGCCTGCAGAAAAGCAATATTGAAGCCAGAGGAGGCTGTGAAGGGTAGATGGCCCAGAGATCAGTCACCTTTGCAGAGCGCCTGCTACAGGCCAGGTACCATCTAGCTCTTCCCCGGGAATCTCATTTATCTTGCACAGCATGCAAAAGGAGGCATTAGGAACCCTGTGACAAGTAAGGAAACAAGCTTGGAGCAAGGCCCCTTAATGAGGCTTCATTGTGTGTGAGTGAGGTTAGTGCTCCAGCCTCAAGTGCAGAGTCCTCAACCAGAAGCCCTGCCCATCAGGGTGGATTCTGTAGGCCTCACTCGCCCACAGGCTTCTCCCACCAGGCCAGTCCTGCAGCCTCCAGGTTGGCCATGCCCCTGAAGTGCCAAAGTGACATACTACAGACTGTTGCCCTTGAATTGCAAAGGTTCCAGCAAGCATTGTCAGACCCTAAGCTTGCCCATGGGTGCACTGCAGACTCTCAGGGCCTTGTTTATTTCGAAGCTGTTCCCCTTCAAAGAGGCATGGCTCATCCAGACCTTCAGGTGCACATGTCCAGTGTGCACCTACACATTGGCATCTGGTGTCCAGGGTCCAGAGGAGCAGGCAGGCCAACCGTTTCACACTTGGTAGTGCCATCCAACTGGAGCATGGAGAGACCACAGGAAGGCCTCCTCAGGGGTCTCCACCTTCCCTGGGTCCTGGGATTCACTGGTACCTGGTGAATCTCTGGACCCACTCTCTGAAGAAGGCTTTCAAGGGAAGGCAAGATAGTTCATTGAATTAAGCACCTGCTTTGGCATGTCCAGGGATGAGGTTCATCACCTGACCCACATGCTGCACCAGCCCCACCTCCAGGGGCATGCTGAAGCCAGAACCAAGTCTGTTCATAGTGCCTGTAATCTCAGCACTGAGGACACTGAAAACAGGAGGATCAGTATGCGTCTGAGCTGCATAGTAAGACCCTGTACCAAATACATAAATGAAAAATTAAAAACAAGAAGGCTTTAAAAAAATCAAATGCAACCTGGACCATCTAGTGAGACCCTATCTCAAAAATCAAACAAACCAACCAAAAAAAGTCCAAGATACAGGCCCTGGGGGTGTGGTTAGCCATGGAGCACTTGCCTAGCATGTGTAGTCTCCTGGGTTTCTTTCCTAGCACTGCAAAATACTAAAAATAAAAAACAAAACGGAACAAAAAAAGTCCTCACAAATTTGCAGAAGATACAAATTGTCTGAATATACAGAAAACAAAAGGTTTTTCAAAACTGATTTCTGATACAGAGGCATAGAATGTCTTTCTGTTTTCATACATTAAATAACTAGATGTGGCAGTAGATTTTCTCTCTTGCATCATTTAGGTGTGCTGAGAAGTGGACAAACAGATTGCAATGTTCCCTATCATTGTGAAGAGACTTGAGAATACCTGTGGCTTCTATTGGTGACAAAACTACAGTCACATCACCAGTGCAGGACTTCACAACTGATTTGCAAGGGGTGGCTGATGGCACAGATTAAAGGGCAGCAAGTGATCCTCCTGGGGCCTGGGAGCAGGGCTGGAATTGCTACAGGCAGTGATGGGGGAGGGAAAATGCAGGAGGCAGATCCAGTGCTCAGGCAGGACCTGTGTGTGCAAAAGTGATCACAGTGAGGGCTGACTTGGAGGGTGGCTCTTGGTCAGCAAGAGTCAGGAGTGACAGGCCAGTGGGTGGGCTGATAGCATCTGGTAGATTACTTCAGGGCTCACAGAACGCCCACCTCCCTGTCCCTGGTACAGGGTCTGAACCATACTTTGCACATGGAACACCAGATGCTGGAGACATTCTGGACCATTAATAAGCTGAAGAAGCACCAGCAAGACCAGAGAGTGAAGCTGAACCAGCTGCACCACAGCAACAGGTGGGTGTGGGCCTTGGTACTGGAAGAGCAGCAGCTGAGCCAGGAATCGAACTTGGGACCCAGGCTGAAGATGGGGATGGGGCTGAGCTTGGAGCTGGACATGGGCCAGTGAGTGGGTGGGACTGGGACTGAAGCTGGGTATGGGCCGCTGCTGGGAAGGACTGGAACCAGGCTCAGAGTCCAGAGATGCTGGGAGGAGCACAGGCAGCAGGACTGGGCTGGGACTGAGCTGGGTGCCAGGCAGGCCAAGGTGCGTGCCCAGTGTTGTGTGCAGCACAGCAGGAAGGGCCTGCTCCTGGGGCTCAGGACACCTCAATTTTTGTTGTTTTTTCTTTTCTTCCTATCCTTATTTGATAAACTTATCTACTTTTTGAGATAATATTTATATACGACACCCTTTACCCTGTTTCTTTTCAAGGGTATAACTGATTTCTACATAAAGCAGGTCCAGTTCACCTGCTCCCCTTTCCGAGGACACCACAGCAGCCACTTTGCACTGTGCAGAGTCAGAGTCCCTTCATTGTATGCAAATCTGCATCAGAGAACACACTTTAATTACAAATGAAAAGATGGTCCTGGTGCTCTGATAAAGCAGAGAAACCTGACTCACACCCTCTAAATTTAATCTTGGTTTGAGTGGAATGGAGAATCCTTAAGGGCAGGGTTTCTCCTAAGGTCAGGGTTTAGGGGAGGCAAACACCCTCAGGGAGCAAGCCTGTCATAGGGTGAGGTAGGCACTGCATGCCTGAGCTCCACACAGGACCCAGCTGTAAAGCCTGGCCCCTCTGTCTGACGTGGGTCCCATTAGCAGAGGTTCTTGTTCTCATTCCCCAATCCAAAGATCCAGATGGCAAGAGCTGAGGCATTGCAGTCACTCTGAATTGGGCAGTTTCCTGGAAATGCACAGATAGAAGACACTGTCAATAAGCTCTTGATGAGTGGACAGCGAGCATTCTAGAATTTGAGTGTGTCCAGATGGTCTCTTCCTGCACTATAATTTGGGGTCTGTGGCAATGTCTTCAGCCCTGGCTGTTTTTAATTCTTAGTCTGGGGAAAGGGTCAGCAAGACTGGATGGAGAGGAAAGTCCTCCCTTCCCAGGTCTGTCCCTCAGCCACTGGGCTTGTAGAGTCAGACAGTGGCTATCCGAGTGCTGGTGTCCCAGCTGCCTGACCACTGCTCTACCATGGACTCAGCCCACAAGACTCATATTGTGGATTCACACTGAAGGACATCTGACCCCATATGGGACACTTCCCTCTCTGGGCTGCCCTGTGTGGCACTGATTTCATGGCAGAACAGCAGGCTCTTTTACATGCTCTCCACTCTGCAGTGGCAGGGAAACTCAGATGCTTGCTCTGAACACTCGCTGGGATCCTTGGCTGGTGGGGCTCCCCAGACAGAGGAAGAAGGTGAGGCAGCAACTGGGCCAACAGAAGGACAGATTGTCCCACATCAACCAGAGCTTGGAAGTTCTGAACAACAAACCCAGGCTTATGCAGCAGCAGCAGCTAAAACAGAGCCTGCAGCTCCTCAAACACTTGGTGGAGCAGGGCAAAGGTGAGCTGGTGGAGCCTCTGGTGCAGAGGCTGATGTGGAGGGTGGGGTGGAAGGCAGGAGCCAGGAAGGAGCCCTGCTCAGCCTCCAAGGATGTAGCCTGGGAAAGGTACACATTTTTGGCCAACTGGACAACAAAAATAACACTGAGAAGTAATAAGAATGTCCACAGCCATGGCCCTGAGAGCAGCCTGCGCAGACCACTCCTACCTGCACGGGTGGCTGGGTCTGCCCACACCCATCCCACCTTAGTCCACAGAGTCCCCATTTTCCCAATGGAGATGATGGTGCTAGTAAGGAGGGCAGCAGCCAGCTGGCACATTTGGCATTCAGAGTTCACCCTTCAGCCCGCTTGGTTTGTGCCACCCTTCAGCTCCCCGGGCCTCAGTTTTCTCATAGAGTGGGGATGTGGAACTAATGCAGCCCCAAGGACTTCTCTCATGTGAGTGCTCGAGTGTGACACCCAAGAGGGCACAGGGAAGGCAGGGGTCTCCTTGGCCCAGTTGAGAAGTGAGTGCAGGGCCCAGCTTGCCCCTCAGCACTCACTACCCACGCTGTGCCACTGGGGGCCAAGGCTTCCTGATTCCAGCATCTCTGTCAGTCAGCAAACGTTGGTTATGTTAGGTTTTTCAGTGGTGTGGTAAAGAGAAAGGAAAGATAAGAGAGGCCTTTACTGACTCTGAAGACATGAAGAGAATCTGAGGGAAAAGAGGGTGTGGGATCCTCGGACCTGAGAGAAAGAAAGCTGAGCCTTTTATGGACTTTAGCTAAGAGTGAAGTTTGAGGGGCAGGTTCAATTACAGGCAAGGAGCTGGTTGGGTTCTGCCCTGTGTATGTGGGAAAGTCATCCAGCACTGGGGTGGCCAACAAGGAGGAGGTGGCCTCTGAGAAGAAAAGCTCCTGTTTTCTGGCTTCAGTCATTAGAAGATCACTGAAATACTTTAGCAATTCCTACTCATCTGGAACCTATCATCCCTATCTTTTAGTTGTTATAAAGGGGCGATCAATCACTTAGCTTCTTGCTGAATGGGGGCATTGTTATGTGGGCAGGGCAGACTGACAGGATGAGGGTTCATGCCCACATAGAAGCTAGGGCCAGGCGTCTCAGCCTCTCCCTTCCATTACCTTGCTCATCTCCAGCTGATTTTGATTTGTCTCATTGCTGCTCCACAGGAACCACTGTGCCAAAATTACAGGACTGTGAGGCTGTCCGCAGGTTTGGGTTCAGTAAGGATGGCATCTACAGCATCTTCCTGCCCAGTCTGAAGCAATTCAAGAGGGTGAGAGGGGCTGTGGCTTGGGGCGGTGAGAGTTCATGTGTGGATGTTGAGTCTGGAGATTCCTAGGAGAACCCAACTTAGCATTGTGCTTTCTGGAGGGACTGAGATGCCAGCAAGTGGTGTACCCTGCCTTGTTGAGAGCTCATGAGGGCAGTGGTGTGACCAGGGACAATACGCACAAGTCCTCCTAGTAGGAGTGCTTCCTTCCAGAGAGGACTCTCACTGGGGTAGCAGGAAACAGCTCTGTGCTGGCTAAGGTTATGCTCAGTTGCACAAGTGAATCCTGCAATTCCAGGGGCCCAACACAACATTTGTTTTTATTGAGGGCAGTTATTGGGGTTTTGCTGCATTCAGGAAATTAGTGCAAGAGGCCCATGGGGGCATGACCATGTTCAATGAGTGCTCCCAAGGCGTCCTGAGCTCGAAGGTCCAGTTATCAGGTGGGGGAAGAGGTTGAGGGAGGAGAAGTGGGTGTGAGGTAGGGCTTGGGACAGACAGAGGGTATGGGATGGGGAACACCTGTCCAGCAGTCCTGCCCTGTAGTTCTCTCTGCACTTTCCTTTCAACCTTCTCAGTGTGTCAGCAATCAGCCCCATTTTGCTCCGGAGTGCTTTTCAACACATTTGGTAAATGGGCATTTAAGGAAAGAACAGCTGAAGACCCTGTGTTTGCAACAATTTATCTCTTGGATTTCATGGTATTGTTTTCTTGTATTTATTTTCAAAATCATGTTATAAAACACAAGGATTAAGATTTTCTATTTTTGGAATTGATAAGATTTTTTAGCAAGAGACATGACAAGTTTTCAAGGAATATATGATTGGGAAACTTAAGCAAATGTATAACGGATTGAATTTAGTGAGGGGCTAATGATTGAGATTCGGGGACAGTGATGTAGAGGTGAGAGCTGGCCTGGGAGGATAGAGATCAGGACCCAGCCCTCAGCTCTCCTCTGAAGAAAGCTTTTCCCCTTGAGACCCCTGGATACCCTGCAGTCCCACAACAGGGGTCCTGCTTCTGTCCCTCAACTGACCTTTCCTTCCTTGGAGTCCTCACCCCTCCTGCTTGTGTCTTCATGGAAAATGCCACCCCCCATTTCTCTCATGTGCACATGCCCATTCAGTGCCTCCTGGGAAGCTCTCACCCCAGGGGGTCTGGGGTGGCTGAGTCACTTGTGGGCTTCTCCTTGCAGCCTCCCAAATGTGCATGATACATTTCTTCTGCCCCATCACAGCCTCCTCCAGATCAGGCAGCATGAAGTTTCATTTGTCTCTGATTCATCCTGTGGAGGGCCAGAAACCAGAGCAGCACTCATGGGATATTGAACTTATACAAAACTGATAGAGAAAATTGTGTGCAAGCAGTAGTTAACCTGCTTTGTGTAGTTGTGTTAGATTGTAGCCCTTAGAGAGAAAGGCTTTTGTTTTTGTCTCACCCACATTTGTATCTACAGAGGTTGGAACAGAGCATCACATATAATAGTTTCTCAGCACACTATATTGCATTTTGAGGGTCAGCAATAAGAGCTTTTCCTACATCTACAGGGTGGCTAAGCCCTTTATGCCATCCATGTTTAATCCTTCCAGCAACCAGCAGAATTATGGAGGGGGAGCCTCCATTCACTTCTCTCCTAGAATGTATTGGGCCCTCTGCTAGACATTCACAGGACCCCTCTCATTTAGCTCTCACAGTAATGAGGAGAAACTGAGGCATAAATAGGTGAAGATGTGAGCATCCTCATTTTACAAGTGAGGAGCAGACATCTGTGGGAGGTCACTGGCCATCACTTTGGGCAGTGCTACATTGGGAGCAAAGATGGAGCTGGCATTTTCTAAGGAACTTGACCAGCTTTGCTCAGCAGTGCATGGGACTCCATTGCCATATGACACATGTGCTGCTCTGGATGTGACTTCAAGCTGTGTCCAGGGCATTTCAGCTGCTCCCCTGTTGGCAGGTGTTCTGTGTGATGGACCCCAGTGGAGGAGCCTGGACCGTCATCCAGCATCGGGAGAATGGCACAGTGAATTTTGTCCGGAACTGGGAGGACTACAAGCAGGTGACTCTGCTGCCCTGGGGCGGGGCTGTGTGTGGCTCTGAAGCCTGGAGCCCTGGCTCTGGAGTTTCTTTGGATGGATGTGTGCTTGCCCTCACAGCTTTCTAGAAAACTTCATCAGCCCATCTGAGCCACCGAACCACAAACACCCTCATCCGGTATACATGCACTTCCCGGATGCCCCGCCCCTGAATTTGAAACTCTTTATGAAACTTCTGACATACATCCTGGGAATGAAATGTTGACTCTTGTTTCAAATGTTAGACAGAATACACATTGCTAAAAGTTTTTTTTTGAAAAGAACAGAGTCAGATGGAAGGACACAGTCCCCAGCCCCTAGCTACACTGCATGAATGAATTTCTTTCTCATTTGTTACTTGCATCACCCACCAGAAGCATAAATTCTCCGATGTGCAATTGCTTGTGCAATGACCATCCGATTTTTGAAATGAGATATGCTTACTGATTGTTTTCCAATTTTCTTAAAATAACTTTGGAGTATAGAAAGTTTGGAAAGTTGACATTAATACTCTTTAAACTTTTTGACAGCAGGAGAAATAGGATATGTATCCACAAGGAAATACAGCTATATTATTGCATGTAGTTGCTATTGCATTTGATGAACAGTCAAATATACATAACAAATTGAGCTGTAGGTGTTCTGAAACCATTGAATATTTTTAATAAATCATGAAAATAGTAAAGGGAAATCAGGTGTTGAGATGCAGAAATACACAAAAGCCTGCTGGATAGCTGCTTATTTGGTACTTCCTCCCACAGGTAGAGAGCCTGGTTCTGTGTGTCCTGTCCATGGTGCTGAACCCGTGTTCTGCCAGAAGCTTTGGTTTTTTGGTTCTGCACACTGGTGACAAGACGTGCCAACATGTTCTCTGACTTTTATACACTTCTATGTTGTTGAAATTTTGCATTTGATGTCAGGATCTTGGACACTGTCTTGCACTTCCTTTATTCTGAAGACAATTCTTATTCATTTAAACTGAGTTTACACTCATTCAGTTAAGTGCACAAATATGAAGTGTAAGAATCAGTGAATTTGGAATATGTGCTCACCCATGTGATCCATACTATACTTGACGAAACAACTTTACCCTCACAAATCCCCTCTGCCAACTAGTAATCACCCCAAAAGTAGCCACTCTTCATTTGCATCTCCACAGATTACTATTTTTGGTTTCTGAGCTTTGGGGAAATGTGATTTCAGTCATATTTATTGAAATTTTAACTTTAGAAATGTGTTGATGATTTTCCTCTAGGCAGTGTGGGTCTCCTAACTGAGGCTGTTCACAGAGATCTTTAGGCTCTGTAGGTTGGGAGATGTGGCCTTAGAGCCTAGCCTAGGTCATTGCTGAGCAAGGACACTGCTCCCAGCTCAGCACACAGCCCACTGTGTCCTCTCCTTATCCTATAGGGATTCGGTGACCCAGCTGGGGAGTACTGGCTGGGCAATGAGGTGGTGCACCAGCTCACCAGCAGCACTAACTACTCCCTGCATGTGGAGATGGAAGACTGGGATGGCAACAAGTTCTCCGCCAACTTTGAGCATTTTGAAGTTTACAACGAGGAACAGTTTTATAGGTGGGTTCTGGACCCAGTGGTCATGAGGGCTGGGGTCCAGGACAGTGCCTGCAGGTCTGCACCAAAGATCAACCTTGGCCATTTTGTGTTTTTGCCATCAGTCCCCTATTTGGACCCACATCACGAGATCTGGAGTTGGCTAGTGAACTTTGGGTTGGAGACTGTGGGGTGGTGTCCTTCCTGGGGCTGTCACTCCAAGGCAGTCACTGAGTGACACCACAGGGGTGAAGTGTCTTGTGCCAGCTGCAGCATGGCCTGGGTGAGGTGGCAATGTCTTCATGATTGGAGCTGGGAGAACTTGACACTTTCTGGAAGTTTGGAAGCTCTGGCTTGGGCAAATACCATGAGGTTGTTCTGAAGCTGAGTGCTTCAAAAGCAGAATAGCTTCGGATATGGGTATATGGTGACAGCTTCCCTTTATCCCTCTCCTTCTTCATTCTCTCCTGTGGTACACTTAGGCACAGTAATCAGAGTTAAGCAATTTTTTTCTACAATCTCCAATAAATCTGCCCAACAACCCTTTGAGGTGAGCATCATGGTGGGATCTTTAGTACAATGAAAGCCTGGGGTCCTGGGGTGGGCCAGTAGGTGATATATAGATGATATATTCAAGGACAGAAATGTCACATTTCTACATAAATGCATAATTGTGCATTATAATTGTCCATGCTGCCAATGTAAGCATGTGCGATAAATGTCTAAGGTCTCCTGTGCACAATTCTGTGCTCCTTCTGTGTCCAGGACTCAGGGAGCTCCAGAGCTCCAGGTTGCCCTGGCCATGCTTCAGAGGGCTCTCATTCACCCGTCCCTCTGCAGCACTCTACAGAGCAGAATGCTGGATATTTGTTCTGTGCCTGCAGGTGCTGACCTGTTCATGTGGGGGAAGAATCAGTCCTCCTATCAACGCCTTCACAGTTACTCTAGTCCGGTGTGTGGCATGATGTAGAATGTCCACTGGTGTCCCACTCCACAGAAGGACAATGTTGCAAGAGCACATACCACTGTCCTTGTCCTGAAAAATTCTGAAGGCCACTTTCAGATGAGATAGGAGAGAGTGCAGAGTGAGTTCAGTGCCATGTTCCTGAAGGGCCTCTGTTGTGAGCTAGACAGTGTTTACCCAATGCATGGCCTGGTAAATGAGGAGATGCTGTCCATTGAGGAAGGATACTGCAGAGGAGGTATGCCTGACCTGCTCATACAAACAGCAGGCCGGAAGGACTCCCCAGAGAGTGGGCATATCCTGCAACAGGAGATAGAAAGATGCTGATGCTGTGGGGGTGTTTGTGTGTGTGAAGTGGGTGCACCAGGGATGTGGGGAACCCCTCCACATTACATGTTGGAGCTGTGTGAGCCACTCTGTGTGCTCCCTGATTCAGGTCCATGTGTCTGTGCACCTCTAAAAAACAGGTTCCAGGTCACTGTGTGCCCAAACCTCATCTGGGCCTCCTGGGTCATTTCCTCTGTAGGCTCTGCGCACAGCCTGCTGGACATCAGAGCTCCCATCACTGTCTGACCAGCAAGGGTGGCCCTCCCACATAGACACCAGCTTCCTGATGCTAATTGTGCATCTTCACACTGGGCTTCTTTGTGGAACCAAGCAGTCCCGGGAGCTCCCTGACCCTGTACTGCAGGTCGTAGGAGTCAATGTCTCCTGCATTTCTGTCCATGGCCCACATTCCATGTTATCAAATTATTACTCATGCAGGCTTTTCCTGAATAGTACAATCTTCATGATCCTGAGATCCCTTGTTGGACTCTGCGTTGCTTTGCAATAGAGAGGTCACATGTGTGAACATTGAATTAAACTCCAGATCTGTCTCACTTTCAGCTTCCACAGCCCTGTTGCATAAAAGTGCTTAAATTACATCTGAAGAGTGTGTCAGTGGGGCTGTCCTAATCCATGATGTGGTGTCCACTGTGGCTTCTAGGGGTGCGGGCCTGATGGCACTAACCTCCCACCCAGGATTGTGAATGGACCCTAGGTGAATGGGTCAATCACTGTAGCAGTTGTGCAGCAGTGAATCCCCTCCAGGGCATCTCTAACCAGCCTGCTCTCTGCATGGGGCTGTGTCAATGTGCTCTGGAGATCAGGGAAGCATGTTGAAAGACACAGGGTGCCTCATGGCTGGCTATGGTCATTTGGGCCAAGAGGAACATCTTCTCATCACAGATAGACAGAGATTTGGGTGAAAGTTGGGATGAGTGCCATGGACGTACACAGCCCAATCTCCATGAAGAAGGAACCATTCCTTGGAGCCACTACTTGGGGCATCTTTGCAGCCCTGCCTTGGTGTTCAGTGATTCCTTAAGCTTCACTGGCTATATCTGAACTCCATTTGCTTCCACCCCATGGAACATTAATGGCTCCCCACTGTCTCCCACCCCTGTGCCAGGCGTAGCCCCTGCCTGCAGTCTCCCAGCCAGGCTCAGGGGCCAAGTATCAGAAAACAGTAACTGTTCACTTCCCTGAGCATCTACATCCTGGGGTCACCAAAGCACACAATGAGCAAAGCTGTGGTCAGTGTTTTCATGGTTCCCAAGTGCATATATGCACATACTGAGGCTCAATGAAGAGACACAATCTTCTAAGGCCTTGCAGCCTCTGAGTGGCTGAGCTGGAGTTTGAATGCAAGTTGATGGCCATCAGCAACAGACTGCCTTGGTTGTGCCTGTCAGGACCACAGAGTCTGGCCAAGGAAGATAAGTCCACTGGCCAGGCTCCCAGGTGATGTTCAGGTTAATGGGCTGCATGGGGCATGGGGATGAGGACCCTGGGTTTCAATGGTGTGGGCAGATTTCGTGAGGGAGGGCTTTCTGGAAGATGCAAGAGGACACAAGTAGCTGTCACAAGACAAGAGTGCAGGAACTTGAACATGGGAAGATCAGCTTGTGGGAGTCCAGGCAGGCCACGGTGGGCTGCAATCTGGCTGTCACCTTCATTGGTCTTGACATTGTGTTAGGCTCTTCTGTTCTTGGGGCCCCATCTCCTCCTGTGGACAGGGCATTGTGAGGCTGAGATAAGGATGAGTTGACCCCTTCAAAGGCCTTTGGACAGTGCCTGACCCCTGATAGATGCTCCAAAACTGTCATCCAGTGTACACAATATGGTCACTGTGACACTGCTTCAAGACCAAGGGGATGAGGTTTGGTGGGCCCAGCACACACAGTTGCTCAGTATTTTCAAAGTGAGAGAGAGGAGACATAGAGGAGCCTGAGGAAAATGGCCACAAAATGAATGTAGGCTGAGGCTCCACTTGGAGACTGCAGTAGAGAGGCCAGCCTGGGCAAATCTCCCAACAGAGGCCCTTCAGGAACATGGCATTGAACTCACTCTGTGCTCTCTTCTATCTCAATCTGAGGGCAACATTCAGAATTTTTCTGGACAAGGACCACGGTGTGTCATCTCGCAACGGTCTGCTGATCCTGGGGAACAACAACTTCAGCACCTGGGATGCAGATCATGACAACTGTGGCTGCAACTGTTCAGAGATTATGTCTGGAGGTCAGTTAGGTCAGGTGCCTTTGACACCAGGGCCGTAAGATCTTCAGAACATCCCTCCTCCTAACCCAGAGTTCATCAGGATGTATCCAGGGAACAGCTCCCACCAACTGTGGCTGGGGCAGCACTCCTGAGCTGGGGCAGAGATTGGAGAGTGGGTGATGGGATGATTCAGAGACAGAGCAAGAAGGACAGAGGAGACACCTGAGACATAGAGACATGGACAGATGTAGCAGAGAGAGGCAGAGGCTGCTAGAAATGAGAACAGTGAGGAGAGACAGCACTTAGTAGGGAGGCAGAGGGAGACTTAGGGAGGAAGTACTGGCTGGACGTGGCCAGGAGAGGCCTGGGTGCAAGGGACAGTGACCTGAGATAGACATTATGACAGAGTCAGCCCTCAGAGAAGGATGTCTTCTGCCAGAGAGGCGCACAGAAGACCCACGCTAAGAGACCACCAAGAGAGACTCAAGGGACAAAACAGAGGCCACCAGATATCCAGGGAGGGAACAGGGGCTGTGAGGAAGTTAGTAGGTTGGGAGGCTAGTGAGGGAGGGACACGGATGCAAAGGATTCTGGGGAATGTCAGGAGATGCAGAGACCTAGAAGAGGGACAGAAGCTCTGCTGCCCTCTAGTGGCCACACCTCAGCAAAGGCTCTGCAGGCCCTCACCTTCCTCCCCAGCTGGCTGGTGCCCAGGAAGCAAAGCCGTCAGTGTTTTATGTTCCCTTCTTCCACAGGGTGGTGGTTTGACGCCTGTGGCATGTCTAACCTCAACGGCATCTACTACGAAGCCGGCCAGCACAAGAGGAAGATCGATGGAATCCGCTGGGACCATACTCCCAGCCACTCCATCTCTTCTCTCCGCACCTCCCGCATGATGATGAGACCCTTGCACAGCTAGGGAGCATCCTGTGGAGGCTGCTGTAGGTTGTCTATCCTAACAATAAGGCCAATTAGAGCATCTACCATGCAGGCCACAGAAGGTCCAGAGAGCTATGCACATGACACCCCACAAGACACTAGGTCTTCAGTTCATGATGATAGTGCTGGTGTATCTCGGGAGACGAACTTTCTAGTGGGAAAACATTCCAGTCTGATGTCAAACTGGGCCCTGATTCTGTGATGTTGTTAGCCTTTCCAAGTTGTCAGACAAGGTCATTTGGAGGAGCCCAGGTTCCAAATATAGAGCGGTGGGGTGGCTGTAGAGCCCAGAAGTACAGCGCTGGCCTAGCATGCATGAGACCTTTGATTCAGTTCCCACCACCATGCAAAGAGAAACAGACAAAATAAAAATGTCCAAATAGAGTGGTCTTGTGTGGTATGTGTCTGTGTGCAGGGATTCCATTTCTCTAGGAAGGTTGCCCTCTAGGGGCGGTCGTGAGAATGCACGGTACAAGCATGCGTGCGCATGTGCACTGGGGATGTATCAGTGAGGTGACAGCTGCTTTGTGTCAAAGCCCTGTAGGCCTCATTCCAAGTCCTAGATACACAGCAAGCTGTAAACTCTGAGGCAGACGCAGTGTGGGGGACACGTTTGGAACACATTATGTCATCCCCCTGTGTGCCCCGCCGCTCACACAGACTTTGGGGGTGAATCAGCACCTTCCTCCTCAGCACATTGGCAGCATCAGCTGGGACAGACCTTGAGGTTTGCTGACTTGGCTGGACTCTATTTTTGAAATTGTTTCAAATGACTAATTCCTCTCATTTTCCTCTTATACATCTCAATCACTTATTTTATATTTCAAATTTTAAGAATTTAAACATTCTTATATTATTGTAATGGTCTACAAATATTAATTAATCAATTCTTATAGAAGGGTAAAAGATTTACTTTGCTCCTATATTATGTGGGTTTCCCTCTGCCATCCTCTGACTTCATGGCAGGGTGCATGGCAGAGGGCAGCTGTTCATGTTGGTGTAAGACAGCAAAAGCAGGAAGGGCACAGAGGAAGGGATGGGAAAGTAAGCATCCTCCTCTCCCTCCTCCATATACAGAGTGCTTACTCTGGGGTGTGGGGAGCACTCCCACCCACAGTGTCAGGGTCAGACAATGAACAATTCACAAACTAAATTTAGCCACCTTCAAAAACCTCACCCCAAGACTGTATGACACTAGGAGGTCCATTCAGAAAGAAGCTGGAACACTCCTCCCATGGCCCTCAAAGGCTCATGCACATCCCTTTATGGAAAAGACCTTCAGTCCATCTCTAAGAGTTGCCGAATTCCTAACAGTTTGAGCATTGTTGAAAAGCCTGTGTCACCCATCTCCTCTGAGACATAAGGCAACCTTTTCACTGTGAGCCATATGCAAATACAGGCACAAGACAAGCATTTCTCTTCCAAAAGTTAAGAAGAGGGAAAAACAAAGTGTCTCAGTTCTCAGTTACTCTTCCCTCATTTTTGGGACAAATACCCAACTCTCAAAATGAAGGAAGGAAAGGTTTATTTAACTTACAGTTAATGAGGTTTCAGTCCATACTCAGCTGGCTCCAAGGCAGAGTGGCTCATGATAGAGAGCAATTTTTCTTGGCAGTGGCAAAGAACAGAGAACAAAAGGGAGGAGTAACAGCCACAATACTTACAGAGAGCAAGTGTGTCTCCCTTAAATTGCATTCAGGCTATCCATCCCAGGCTAGGTTTAGTACTTACACCCATAATCCCTGAAGCACTCATACCCATAATCTCAGTGGATCATGAATTAATCACAAATTCTTGAAGTCAGCCCTATGATTGCATGAGGCATTGGGGGGACAAATATACACAACCAATAAACAACACAATGGGACCAACTCAATTCCGAAATTGAGCAGGCAAACACATCTGAAGCAATCTATAGGATGATCTAAACTTCAAGGGCTTGGGGTTGTTCCCTTCCCATGGTACTTCTGATGGTTGTAGCTCCCAGGGCTTCTGTCTTAATCACTTTGTTCCATCCTACAGTTTTCCTTAGATGATCCATAATCCTATCTTTTCCCTAACTTCTGGGATTTTCATAGCACCTTTGGCTTTGTATTTACAGCTTCACACAGTTCCCTCCAGGGCACTCTACTTGGCCTCCCAGACTTTGTGAAAGCTGAGTGGGACCCACGTTGAATCCACAAGTCTTGCATTCTGCAAGTGCCTGAAACAATCACCCGAGAGTTGATGCTAAGAGCTGATGCCAGTCAGGCTCTCCTCTCCCCTGGCTGTCAGGGTGGGGTGCCTGCATCTCTGTGCACTCTGAATCTAATTCCCAGCATCTCTGGAACATGGTTCTCTGAAGCTTTGTCTACAGGGCAAAGTCTTTTACTTTTGCAGTGCTGAAGCTGCAAAGGGTGGAGAATTGATGCTTCTTAAGATGCCCCAGGTCATAATTTACAGTCTCCTGTCCCTTAGCAGCAATCAAGATTTCCAATAGTGATCAGAGTGATCCTCCTGTCTCAGCCTCCCCAGTGCCAGCCTTACTAGTAGGCACCAGCACACCTGGTCCTGGAGCCAGCACAGTACTGCCAGAGTGGTGGGGTTGGCACAACATGGGGTACAATACATCGTGCCTTCCAGGCAGATACTTATGCTGCTGAGCTTCACCTTAGCTTGTTTTCAGATTTTATTTGCTCTTTCATGTCCTTATTCTAGGGAGACAATAGAAAGCTTACACATGCAGACTATTTCACTTAGGAGTATGGTCTCTGGTTGTGTCTATTTTGAGAGGCAAATTTGATAAATCAGGACACTCATCCACAGTCCAAGTCTCACTTCCTTTCAGCCCAGAGCATGGGTCAAACGGCAGAAACAATTGTACCCAACTTTGTGCCTTGGACTCAAGCAGGAGCAAAAACCACAGAAACTCTTCTTTGCTAATGTAGAAAGTCCTCCATAGACCAGGTAGTCCTGCCAAGATTAGCTCTGCCAACTAGGACTGGAAGTCCCCTTCTAATCTATTCTCTTACTAGGAATTTTCCCAGAGGAACTGAAAACGTTATATCATAGTGATATATGTGTACCTATGTTCATAACAGCATAATTTGTGATAACTAAATCTTGGAAACAATCAAGATGCCCATCACCTAAGGAATGAATGAAATGGATGAAAAAGATGTGGTATTTTTATGCAATGGAGTATTACTCAGCTATAAAGAATGATAAACTCGAAGCCTTTATATTTAAGTGGATGCCACAGGAAGATATACTCAGAAGTGAAATAAACCAGACCCACATATGCAAATATCATAGTCTCCCTAGTATAGAACCTTAGAAGAAGAAATAAAAAATAGAAAGGTATAACAGAATTAAAAAGAAAGTGAGAAATTGAGGATTAAACAATGAAGAGAGGGCAAGGAGGAAAGCTAGGAAACATAACAGGGGCAAAGTCATACATTTCTATGCACAAGATGGTTGAAGCAATGATCCTCAGAATCTTCTGTAGGTTTTTGAAACTAGTTCTTAATTGGTAGGATTCTCACCCTGACTAACAATATATGTTGATACCTGTGAACTAAGCAACTGCACTGAAGATAGCATTGTCTAATAGTATGGTCATGCTTGGAATGCCTGTCATTCTGGTCTTCTCAATATGTACTGCTTGTCATATCATACCAATTACTGCCACGCAGTATCTCAAGTAAATGTTTGTTTGAAAAGGGTAATAAATGAAAACAAGAGGCAAGAAAAAAAATGTCACAGGACTGTCCTGCTACAATGCTGTATATGATTAGATTTCTAAATTTCTGTGTAAAAATATGTAATTGTTTACTTCTATTTTTAAATGTTTTTTATTTTTTAATTTTAAATTTTTTCTTCATATTCTGTAAGGACTCAAAGTTTAACATATCAATATTTGATGGAAAACACATGCTCCATGTAAGGGCTAAGACGTTTGATATGCAGACAGATTGTGAGGTTAAGCTCAACTGTCTATATTGTAGAGTAAGAATAATAAGCTTCTCTTCTGGAGGGTTAACAACCTAAGTTTTCAGAACAAATTATAAAAAAGAAGGGCTGCAAGCACACCCAACATTTTGGCTCTAGCCTTCCAAGGTCAATTAAAACTCAAGACATATGAGAACTTGTATTGTAACATCCTGTAACTCAGTAGTGTCCCAAATTTTCTGATCAAGGAGATTATGGGGCCAAAGAGGAAAGTGATCAATGATGTAGAGTGTTGCTAAGGAGAGTCAAATGGAGAGAAAACATTCTCTCAGGCTTTCACAGAGAGCACATTGGCCAAGCAATGGCTGTGACTCATCCACATGGCTGGCACTGACAAAGGATCTACAATCTGAGGTACAGGGTCTCAGGATAAATTCTGAGGGGATTTGACTGACCTTATCAGATCCAAAAGCTACAACTCTTGTTGCGTAGGTCTTGCTTTATCTTGGTCTTAACCATCCATCAGAAAAGTATAAAAACCAAGTATAAGAAGTAAAGCCATGCTGTTATGTTGAGCTGTAGGGGACTCAGGTCAACAATTTCTGACACTGACAGTCAAGTGGAAGACCCAATACTATTATAGACGACTGAAATCTTTTAGAATATTTTACTGAGTTAACACACTCAGTTCTGACATATTCAAATGTCAGAACTAAACAAAAAAGGGGATACAGATGAATGTCTGTTTTGTATCTGTGTGTTCAAAATGGTTAGGATAGATATATAGTTACATTCTCTTAATGAATAGAGGGATTTGTTGTAATAGTGTTTGTAAATAGGATATCATGTCTGCATCTTGTACAGCAAATAACCACGAGGAAGAGAGTATGCAATGTGTTAATTATTGAAATTGTCCTACCAATTTGATTTGAAACTGTCTCATGCTATTTTTCTCTCAGTAAAATTATGGAAAGAATAAAAAATAATTTTTTATTCTTAAAATTTTTTCTTCATATTCTGTAGGGACTTAAAGTTTAACATGTCAATACT